ACTTCCATCCCACATCACCCACATCTACCCGGGATCCAGCCACCAGTACTAATGCTACTAATACCTCTACTGCTGCTGCTACGACTGCTACTACTACTACTACTACCACCACCACCACGACTACGACTACTACTACTACTACTACTACTATATAATACTACTACTACTACTACTACTGCTCCTACTACTATGTTTACTACTACTAGCACTACTACTACTACTACTACTACTCCTACTCCTACTACTACTACTACTACTTTTACTACCACCACCACCACCACCACCACCACGACTACTACTACTACTATTACTACTACTACTCCTACTCCTACTCCTACCACCACTACTACTACTACTACTACTACTACTATTTAGGGCCTGGCGGCAAGTGCCGGCCTGGCCGCGGCCGACCCCGTCCCCCGAACCCAATGTGCTTTTTCCCTTGCTGAAGGTAAAATGGGGTCCCAATTGTGCTGATGTTCCTGCGCGCGCGCGCGCGCGCGTGCGCAGGAACATCATCAGCGCAATTGGGACCCCATTTTGTCTTGATTGAGACCAGAAGAGGTCAAAAACCCAAGAAAAGGCATCAAAAACGGCATTCAACCACAAACATTGCCCCCAGCATGTGTTTTGAGCCTTTTGTTGGGGTTTACAGCGCCTCTACCACGACGGCCTTATCTTTCCAAAGAATCACTTACACCCCTCTCCTCATTCCCCGGCCCTGGGCCCTGTCGCTTTTGAATTTCCAGGAAAAACTATGATGAGCTGTACGACCTGATGTTCAAGAGTCCAGACTTTCGCTTGAAGGAGCAGGATTATTGTACGGTGCACAAACGCCAGTGTCAGCGGTTGCCGCGCTCTGGGCAACACCCGCGTGTGCTGACCTTGCTTGCTGGTGGCTCCCCATGCCCTGACTGGTCTTCTTTTGGCAAAAATGCCAGAGCTGGCGGAGAGACTGCGCCTGTCTTCATGACTTTGAGACTTGGCAGCTTGATGTAGCAACGGTGCAAGTAGTTTGGCGTGTTGTTGGGCCTGGTGCTCGAGTTGTATGGCGGACAGATAAACACCGTATAGTGTCCCCTCATTGGCAACTCCCTTGCTGTGATTTCCCCGAGGATGAAAAGCAGTCAAGCAGAGCCTCCCGTCCGTGTTTGTCCACGAAAACGTGGTACGGTTTCCGGCCGGAGTGCTGGAGACAGTGCTCGGGCCAACCTACCGGGTATGCAGGACAACGCTGCGGCCTGAACAGTTTGGATTTCCGATTGCACGCGACAGGCAGTACTGCCTCTGCCTTCGCGCAGACATCCAGCGACGTGACTGCAACTTCACAAACGTTGTCATTCTTCCCAATGGTTACTTTTGCGCGCACCTACCTAGTTGTAGGCCTAGCGGCCTAGCACCAGGAATTGAATTCAGGTCTAAGTGACCTATGTGGCGATGTCTGTGATTTCTTCCGTACTAGCAGATCTTGTTATTGCCAGTTGATGCCCCTGCGGACACAAGGTTGGAACGCCCGTTCGAAGACTTCGTGAATGAGATCTCTGAGTCTTGCGCATCGAAGATGACAATTAGCGACTCTTTGGCTAGTTGTATTTTTGCTAGGCTCTCAAGACTATTGCCCAAAGGCTCTCGTGGTAATAAGCTAGTTTCTGCTTGAGCGCTCTGCAGGCCCTGGTATATGAGACATCAGTCGCCGAGGTCCCTCCATGTTCTACACGCCCAAGGTTTGACGTTTGAGAGCCGTCCTAGAGTCAGCTAAGGACTTCTTGTTGTCGGAGCCACAAAGCTTAGCAGAGTTCCAATCGAGACTCACGCCTTTCCAGAAGGAGCGCATCCGCAGGCATCAAGGGTTCCTGGGTTAGGGTTGGACCCCTAAAAGGTTGATGCTCCAAAAATGTTAAAGGCTTCCCAATTATCGCCATAATACAACCGACGCAGCCCTCAAATGAGCACATATAGTCCCCAAGAGTCCCTTAAGAATCCCCAAACCCAGGGGTGCAACCATAAGGGTACAAGCGTGAAAGCGCTGAAGGTATTGGGAAGAAAAACCGGACGCGGAAGTTGTAGATTGTGCCCAGAACGTGGAGTCGCGACCCAGATGTGGTGCAGAATTGGTTCCGTGTCTTACAACGGGGTGCTCCAAGCTGGTGCACTTGAAGAGCAATCAATTTTTCAGCCATTGCCTCAGCGTAGAAAGCAAACATCCCGGGTCTTGCGGGGTCTTGGACATCCATGGCTGGCTTGGGAATAGAGGGTATGGGGTGTCGAGGATTTCGGTTTTAAATTTTGGCAGTACCGCGCATTTCCAATCCATTGATACTCAAGTCCTTGAATCCTTTTCCAGGGCCAGGGCACCTCCTCTTCTCTAGAATTGTTCCCTGACCTTTGTTAAGCCGGATGCTTCAGGTGGGCTTGATCTTGCCACGAGTCACGGGATGCCAACGACAGACCAGCTTTGCAAGGAGCTGGGCGGGGTCCAGAGACTGGTCGTGGACAATGTGAGTAATAGTGCTCTATGCGCTATGGTAGCTTGATCAAATTACTGTGTTTGCGGAGGTGTGTTGTGACAGTGTTGTGTGGTGTGTCTTGTTGATTCATGCGGTGGGCCTGGTTTCATGAAAGGTGGGGAACTCAATGCACCTGACGTGCATTGGTGCAGCAATGACAGCCGGTCTCCTTTTGACGAAGCCAACTGGCAGTCGCCCGCGTCCGCAGATGTGATGTGCTGAAGTTGGCCCACTCAGATGTTTCATGGTACAGCAATGTTGGCTGGCATCCGTTTGGCAAAGCCAATCGGCTGCCTGTGCGGGGAGAAGCGATAGGCTGAAGTTGGTTTGAGTGTGGTTAAGGTGCAAGGTCTTTATGGTTTAGGGTTAAGGGTTTTGGTTTTTGGGTTGAGGGGTTTAGGGTTAAGGGTAGAGGGTTCAGATGTCAGTGTCAGACAGAGACCACGCGACTTCGCAAGCAATAAATCGCGATTCTGTTCAGTGAGGTTGTGTGTGTGCTGCTTGTTTGCAATTGTGATTTGCCCTCCATGCCCTTCCAAACGGCATGAAATGACCTGAGCTGATTTGCAGCAGAGGTCCAGAGGATTTGTGTAGCGGGGCAGTTGTTAGATTGTGCTACATAGTCCCTTGTTTTGGGCCTTCACTTGCAAGCAAGCATGCCGTCGCGAAAGCCGAAGCCTGCAGCACCCTTGGATGACGAGGGCAGCCAGGATTCTACATCGGGGTCAGACTCATCTGGGTCCTCCCATTCCCGTCGAGCCAGCCTCCAAGCGCGCTAGGAAAGCGCCGCCGCAATCAGCTCGCCGACCAGGGCCCTTCACTGGCGTCACAACCAAACACGCTGCTGTTGCTTCAACCCCCATGAGCAGTAGCAAGACCAAAGAGGCCGCTGTTGTTGCTGCCACCCCCCTGAGCAGTAGCAAAACCAAAGCTGCTGCTGCTGCTGTTGTTCCTTCCACCCCATCATCGCGCTCACAGACGAGAAGCAAGACACCGAACGTGAAGTTGCAGCTTGCGACCCCAAAGCCCCGATCTGCGTCAATGAGCGGATCCGCCGCGGCCATCAAGCTGCCGAGCGACGCCGAGAATGTTCAAAAGAAATTGCGTAAGCGCAAGGAGGACGCGGCAGTGGACGGGGATCCGGACATGAAAGTGCAGACCTGCCCTCAGGTGACATGATAGCGCCACTGTTGTCCAACCATGATAGCGGTTCCTTTGCAAATTTGGGTTATCTATCTTTGTCCGCTCAGCTCAGGTGTGCTCATTGCTCAGAGATGGTGCCATTGAAGGAGTCCTACCGGCGCAGCGTCAACGTCTACGCGTGCACAGACTGCAACCTTGCCAGGTTGGCTTTGCAAGGCCACTTCAAAAGGAAAGGGCAGATGCATACGTGGAAGGCTATGTCCAAGCCGGAAAAAGACAAGGAGATCAGGCGAAACAAAGGAAAAGCGCGTGGCCGCGGACATCGTTTTCCGGTGGTTGTGTCGGAGAAGGTGATGTTTCCCCAAACACGAGTAAATTAGTCGCGAAAATCAGTTATGCGCAGAGTCCTAATGGGTATAGTTTATACAGAAAACAACCCTTCAGTATTGTTGCTGTGAATGCAGGGGATCCCAAACTCAACAACTGGCTGCTAAAGCGTCCCTGCAGGTGTCGCTCAACGACAGCATGGAGCTGGCGAAAGAACGTGATTTCATAAATATCCGCCAGTTCAGACATGAGTGCAAGAAGCGTTGGGGATACAAGAAGGCTAAAGCAAAGGAGTTGCGGAAGCAGTACTTGGGGGACAGCAAAATCGCGAAGGCGGAGGACCAGCAAGGATGGACCACTATGCCGGCTTTGTGGGTTTCAAGCCAGGTGCTCAGCTGCGGCAACATCAACCGTCGGTCATGAACCCTATCTCTTCACGTCCCACATGCGCCACAATTTTGAGCAGTTTGAGTTTCCTCCTACTACTACTACTACCACCACTTTTTGAGTACTATTACTATTAGTATTCCTATTGGAGACCTAAGAGCCGGTATGGCCCCAACTTGACAGTAACCCGAAACCATGTGAATGGCAGCGCTTCTCTTGTGAGGTCTACTGGAAAGAGATCCCTCAATCACAGCAACTCGTTGAGCACAAGCCGAACAGAGATGACCGATGAAGCTGACTTGCAGAAAGCGGCCAAAAGTGGGGCTCCTAGCTGCGGCGATTCTTCACGTAAAGGGTTTCCACAAGCCTATGGATGGGAAGGCCTAGCCAGCTAAGGTTTGTCGGAGGGAACGTTGCGCCAGGACACCAGCATCTTTGATCGCTCCTGCCTGACGCCTATATTCAAAGCATGACAGCAGTAGCAAGACGCAAGACTCGGATGTAACAAGTGTGAGTGTGCCACTAACATGACTTGTCCATTTCCATTTCTCCAGAAAAGGTCTTCAAGACTTCTTGGATGCGCCGGTCTTGGAAGTTGAGGGGGCCATGTCGGCGCGTGGGGGGCGTGGACGTGGCGGAGGTGCTAGTGGCGGCGGGGGACGTGGCCGAAAGGGTCCCGCAATAAAGGATGATGACAAGTCCCTTGGTGTTGTTTTTCGTGTTGGGATAGACCCTTAACCTATTAATCCTAAGCCCAGAACCCTAAACCCTAAGGCGCAGTTTTGATTTGTGATTATTTGCGGCGCTGGTCAGAAGCCATGAGTTTTGAGTCCTCAGGCCTGAAAAACGTGCCCGCCACAAGCAAGCGGAGCAGGATTTGACCAGAATTGCAGCGCTTCGTGCAAGACGAAGCGGCGTCAGCGAAATTGCCCTAACCTGAGGTTTTCCTTCTGCTTGCAATTTTGTAGCCGTTCAGTCGGTTGACTGACTTGTGATCCTGCTCCAGGCCCAGCAGATCCAGGAAGTGCTTGAGTACAGCGGTGAGTTGTTCATGAGGTCCGCTGAATTTGCGGAGTTGGTAGAGTGCCCTGTCGAAAATTATTCCGTTGAATCATACGTGGACATGGAGACATTGAATTGATTTAATTGATTGTAGTTGGATTCCAACCTTGTTTGGAGCTTGGGCTAGCTTGCGCGAGCTTCACTCTAGGTATGAAGACCTGCTTTGCAAGCAGCTTCTACGCCTTCTTGCCAATATCCCGCCTGAAGTGACGTCAGAGATTGACATGGTGTACTTGAAGGGTGATGAGGAGGCATGCAAGGCTGCGGGCAAGACTCCGCAGGATGTGGCCAAGGGCGAGAAAGCGTATACCTTCTTGATGGATTGGTCCGAGGCCAATAAGGACCGAGGCCTGGACCGCTCTCCGAACAGCAAGAAGCTTTTTGACCAGGCCATTGAGTCCACCACATGCTACATGCAAAATCTAAGCATGTAGACATTGAATGGGGCGCATGCATGGATCATGGATCAATCGTTTAGGATTATCCCTCGCTTTGGGCTCGGGGGCTGGGGCAGGCGTTTGGCAAGGACGATGAGCTGACAAACAAAATGGTGAAAGCCTACGTAACCTCGATGAGGGGCATGCTGTCTGGCATCAGGGTCGCTGCGCAAGGGCTGGATGATTCTTTACAAGCTGAACAGAGTGCTTCGCACGCAAGATGGTCTTTCTTTCTGAGGGCAACTTTGATGTGGGCTGGGATTCATTACATTCATATATCTTCACCCAATTATGTTTCTGTTTTTGTGTCCGTTTGCATTGCAGGGTCCCGGGTCCCAGTGTGCGTCAAATGTCACTGGCAGGTGCCAAGCAGGATGCGAAGGCTCAGGCTGAAGTTGATGCCAATGCGGATGCGGTTTCTTGCGATGGCGAAGGTGAGGGTGAAGAAGAAGAGGAAGCCGAAGGTGATCCCGAGTTTGAGTTGGACTCAAAGTGGGATGCTAGCAAGCATGAGTGGCCCATACTAAATGTTCTCTCCAATGAAAGCGAAGTCCTTCCAAGTACGAGCACGGATCAGACTCAGCAACAGAATGCGCGCGTGGTTCCACATTCTTCGGCCGATATTTCATGGGCTGAGCGCTTTGCAGGTGCTCTGTTCTATGACAATGTGGGCGTGAAGAACCCCCCGGCCACGGCGTTCGAGGATTTCAAAGCTTTCTACAACGGGGCCATGGCGGCCGCGTCAGGATCATCAGACCAGTCAACGCTTGGCGCCCCGTGCCGCAACAAAATTGAAGCAGGTTATGCCACCTTCGCAAGAGGATTCGAGTCTCGTGACTGGACATCAGTGGATGAGCACTGGTTGCGTGCAAGTTTTTGGGGGTGCCAGCAACTTGAGAGTGACTCGGACGCCTTCTTCGGGCAGGTAGAGCAAACAGACAAGAGGTTGCTGCAAGGAGTCACCAGGCTTGCTGCTCGTCGCCACCAAGCGGCAAGGCCTGAGCATTCACAAGTTGGTATCATGGCAGCAAAAGCAGTTGTCGTTGTCTTTTCTGACTTAACCTTTCGTTTTGGAGCTGGTAGTTGTTAGGCGCCAGTGTAGCTTGTGTGGTCGAGAAGCCATGAACCGTGAAGCTCATGAGTCTCATAATTTCACATTTGATTTTTACAGTTTGCAGTTCATTACTTCAGTCACGGGCTTCATAAACAACATATTTCCCAGGTGCCAGGTAGTCAGCAAGTTGTATTTCAATGCCTTCCCTTGAATTCTTTAAACAAAGCGTGGCAGGCGTGTCCTCACTGATGATGCGGAAAGTCTTGGCTTGCGTGTCTGGAGCTCGCTTTCTTGTTGGAGTTCCAGTCGATGGACTTTACGACATCATGGTGGAGGCCGCGTATCCGCAGGCTTCGTCCTATTTTGGGATGTGTGCTTTCCAGGTTACCTTGGAACCTGAGCTGCTGGGTTGCTGTTAAGGAACTTAGTTAAGTTACTATATTGGGGAAACCTTTTTACTTACTATATAAAGCTATGGTCCATGGTAACTTCATTCAAGTTCCTTAACAGCAACCGTCAGCAACCCAGGATTTTGCGCCGCGCAGGAGGTTTCCTGTGTGTTGTCTCGGAGCGGCAAGCAATTGAGATCCCGCCCGGCTACCTTGTTGCGGAGTGTGCGCTGACAGCCCAGAACACAATCGCTCATTGGGTCACAATGCGGCCCACTGATTTGGAGGATGCTGCCATTTCCAGGTTGGACAGGAAGGTGGACATTGTGTTTCAGCTTCTACGCGTTGATCAGAAACAGGAGCAGCCGTGCGAGATAAAGAGCAGCATCGTGGAGAAAACCTTGCTTCAGTTGGAGGTGGCCCCAGTGTTGTTCAAGTGGCTCCGTGGAAAGATTGGCCCTGAGCCAGTGGAGGACACGGGCTTGTGCAAGAAGTCCTTGGATCTTCTCCGAGGTGTTTACGCGAGAGACAAAGGCTTTCAGAATGCAGTGCTGTCCTCAGCCGTTGTCCAACTGTCTGATTCCGTTTAGATTTCGTAACAAAAATCACCAAACCCCAAAGCATGGAAGCCTCAAGCGTGGCGGCTGAGGTGCATTCAGTGGCCAGTTCATTGGCCAGTCACCTGGCCAATGATTTGAGTGAAGTGCAGGTGTCAGAACTGCGCAGGCAGAGTCGCAAAAGCAGAACTTGCAAAAATTTGGACGATCATTTCGAGGCGGTGATGGAGTTGATTGCCGTGGCAATAGATGAGTCCAATCTTGTAGACACGGAAGATGCGCTTGGCATTCTCCGTTCTGCAATGTCATGGAGCACTGCTCCTGAGCCTGAGCTTGAGCTTGCGACTGCTACTGCTCCGACTGCTACTGCTCCGACTGCTCCTGCTTCAGATTCTTGCAAGGCATCAGGGGCGACAGAGACGCCGCAACTCTCAGCACCAGTGACAGTGCCTGTGGCTGCGCCTGTAGCGGCGCCCGCCCTGACTTCCCCACCTCTTGCCATCAAGGATGAGAAGTCCGCCAGCCCTGGCCCTCGCTTGGGCGAAGCAGCAGCAGTGACAGTTGAGCATGAGCATGCGCAGCAGGGTGTCATTGAGATTGAGGATGACGAGGGCGACGAGGGTGACAAGGGTGAGGGTGGGCATCCGCCTGAGCCAGCACTAGAAGCACCAGAAGGTCCCAACGACCCTGCTGGTGCTACTTCCGCTGAGCCCGCCAATCCAGATGATCCTACACTGCCTACGCCATCTGAGCCAACTGGCCCACCTGCTAGTGAGGTTGTGGTTGCTGACAGCAAGCCGCTTAATGAAGCGCAGCTTGCGGTTGACGAGATCCGGGCACGACTGGGTGCCACAGGTGCGGCCAAGAATCCCTTCGGGGCTGGGCATACGCCAAGCCCTGGTAGCTCAGCTGCGACGGTAAGGAACCCAGTCTTCCTTGATGATGACGACAGTGATGATGGCAATGGCGATGAGAAAGACAAGGCCAAGGCGGTCAAGTATGGCGATGGCGACGGTGGTGTTCCAGTGGATGCGATGGTGGTGGTGCAGACAGCTACCAACCCGAATTTGACGAATTCGAATTTGAAGGAGGTGCTGGTGCTTAGGGTTTAGGGTCTAGGGCCTCAGGACTTAGGGCCTAGGGTTTAGTCGGTTTAGTAGAATTTGGGGTTTAGGATTTAGGCCAGTTAAAGTTTAGGGGCTTAGGATTTCGGGGCAGGGTTTCGGGTTTAGCCCAAACCCACGCCCAAGCCCAAGCCGACAATGGCTTCCCACATTCCCAGGCATGCGAGGGTGATGGTGATGGCGATGATGATGACGATGACGCGACTCCAGAAAAAGGCTCGGGGCATCGGGGCATCAACAGTCCGCAATGGTCATGATCAAAGGTTTGGTTACGAAGCCGGCCAAGCCGGCCAAGCTTGTTGGGGTTGTTGTTTGTGAAGCCTTGAGCATTGAGCTTTA